GTAACTTGCAAGGGAAGTTTCACAACTGTCCGGAACCGATTTGATTCTTCATGAAATATATTGTAAAACACGAAAATTTATGAGACACGTATTTTTTTATACGCGTGCTAACTTATGTATAAGGGATGAAACACTTCTTTGAAAAAAAAAACGATATTTTTCTTTCGAAGTGAATATCATCGGAAGTATAAAACATAGAAAAAAAAATTTTTTAACAAAAGTTGTACGGTTCAGGAGTATTTCAATGTTGTGAAAAAAAATTTTTTTTAATTTTTTGTTAACAATTGTTAAACAAAAAAATTAAAATTTGTTTTTCACAACATTGAAGTACCTATTCTTGAAACCGTACAACTTTTGTTTAAAAAATTTTTTTCTATGTTTTATACTTCCGACGATATTCGCCTCAAAAGAAAAATACCGTTTTTTTTTTCAAAGGGTTGTTTCACCCCTTAAACATGAGTTAGCGCACGTATAAAAAAATACGTGTCTCTCTCTCTTAGATTTTCGTGTTTTACAACATATTTCATGGAGAATCAAATCGGTTCCGGACAGTTGTGAAACTTCCTTTGTTAGAAATTGGCCTCGCGACTCCGTAAGAACGACCGGGGCTGCTTAGCAAAAACGACTCACCACGCGCTGGATAGAAAGAACGGAGGCGGAGAATTTTCTCGAGATGATGATTCGACTTGAAGAGAAGCCAAGGAAGTCAGTGGAGCCTGGGTGGAAAAATCTTTCTCTCTTAGCGACTCCCCCCTCTCTCTTTTTCTGTCTCTCTTTTTCTGTCTCTCTTTTTCTCTACGATCGTCTGAATACTCGAAGGACTCGAAGCAACTCAATGTCGAAAGAGGAAGAGAGAGAGAGAGAGAGAGAGAGAGAGAGAGAGAGAGAGAGAGAGAGAGAGAGAGAGAGACAGAGTGACACAGTCCTGTACATGTGCGAGATCTCGTGCGAATCGTGACATATTGCGCGTCGCGGTAGCTGCTTCCGTGGAACGACGCTCAATGAGGGCGATGGCGACGGCGGTAGCGGTGGTGTCCCTCGTTATCCATATGCAATATGCATGGAAGAAAATATGTACACGCCAGTCTATAATTTAGCGGCGGCGGACGGGAGGTCTGTGTGAGATTCGCGCGTGTGCAAGTGCACTATGTTGACGGAGACGGAGAGCACATTGGTAGAAACCGGCGCCAGCAGGTTTGTTGTGCTTGTCCTTCTCTTGATTAACATCCCATGTCTATCGCGGTCACCGATATGTACTGACGTATATAGGTGAAAGAATAGAAACGGAATAATATTTTGAATAATATTAACGTCCATTTTCGTTATCACAATCGTTATTACAATTATCGTTATTATTACAACTAAATGATAATTGACGTTTGATTAGTAAAGGTTCTCGCATTAATCACATGGAAAAAGTGGTTTCGATCAAATTGGTTGTGACATTTTGTAAATTAGGAGCTGCTGAGCCAAAGTTTCTATAAGTAATCATATGAAAAATGGACGGATTTTATTATAACACTAGTTGCTATTTCGGATCTAATCGGACTAAAAAGTATCTTTTTCTATTAAATTATTCATTTGTTGATAACCTTAAACTTGCATTTACACAGAATAATAAGATGAATCAATTGATGTAAAGAAAACACGTCATAGTTGCTTTTAAAAAAGATTATGCAATTTACGTATTTTGTTAAAAAAAACAACTATGTGTTTTCTTTACAATGCAAATGGATTCATATTTTATTCATATTTACGTCTTAAAAGTATTAAAATTTAGTTATTAAAAAATGAATAGTTTAGTAGATAAAAAGTTTTCAGTTCGATTAGACCCAAAATAGCTTTCAACAAAATCTGATAAAGTCCTTTTGACAAGAATGATTTTGTCACAAAAATTACAAAGACACAGCTGTATTGAAGATATACGAGAACATCGCTTCTATTTTTATTTTCATGTATAAAATTATGTATGTATAAAATTTACTGGAAGAGAATGAATATTGCAAGTGAACCATGTTTCCGATAAAATCAGATTCACTGTAGACAAAGAATGAATCAATTGCGAAGTTTTACGTCCAATTTGGCCGTTGACGTCCGCAAATTGAAAACGAATTCCAGAACTGCCACTCTTTGTGTTTCGCTATGACGTTGCGGGGAAATAGAGAAAAATATCGCTTTTGTTCAAATGATATCGGAAATGGAATAAAAAAAAAAAGAGTCACAAGTCTACCCGTGCGGAAGGCATACGAAAAATGCGACAGAAAAAATCGCGACAACGTACGCCTTTATCGACTGTAAAGCTGCCGATGTAGAATTCCTGAAAAAACTATCCCATACAAATAGTCATTGCGTGCAATTTCGGTACCATCTGTGGAAAATTTAGGATTTACCCGACAATTTTATTCGTCGCTTTAACAAGCGAAATATTTAGCGTCACGACGCTTTTCGCAACAAATTGCGACCGGCGCGTCCGACGTCGAAAGCTGCCGCATGTAACAACGCAAAAGCTATTTTTTATCCAAAAATTTCGCGGACGGATTGGGGCGTAGCGCCGTAAAAAAAGAATGCCCACAGTCGTGCGACGATAATATTCACGACGCGCCTTCTATGTCGTCCGATTCGATTCGTTACGCTGCGGCGTAGATAAAAGTTATGCAGACCCGGAAATTAGAATTCAATCGATAAATCACTTTTGCCCGTCGATTTCCACGGTGGAAGCGCGCCAAGGCGAGTCCCGAATGGCCCTCCGCGAGATATAACGTGCAGCTAGCGACTGTTATTTCGGCCAATTAGTTATCTGCACAGCACCCGCAGCGAGCTGAAAATAGCGCACGAGAGCGATAAACATATATAATATCGATTCGCGCAGCATTATAAACGAGCACATTAGAGACATATCGAGCGCAAAGAATCTGAAAGAAGCAGACGATTATATTGCAATTCTGGCACTTGTTAAAAAGAATATTAAATATATCGCACGTTTCTCGCGAGACTATTATTTCCTTTTAATATAATTTGTAGGTCTTTATACGCGCATTGTTTTCTTAAAATCCTTACAAGATTTCTTTGGAATTTGCGCTTGTAAGAATCTTTGGAAATTTCAAGAGCGCGGCGTGTGCCGTCGTGATCTCTTTTTCAACAAGGGCTTTCAAATCGCCAGAAATACCGCTTAACGAGACGATTCAACCCGTTATTCCGTTTAACGACGACACAAAGGATCTGGAATCTTGTGACGTTTCACGGAAGAAGGCGAGCTTTAATGGGGTCACTTTTCATATTTCATGCGGGGCAACGAGGACGCACGGCGATGAGCGAAACAAATTGTATATAATTATACATCGCGTGTACACTGAAAAAAAATCTGGTAATAATAATCAAGCCTAGATAATGCAGAGCTTGGTGAAATAATTTCAATCAAATGTTCGGTTAATAATCAAAATTAAGCTTAATTTTACTTTTCAAAATATTATCTTACTTTTTTCGAATTATCAAACGGTTGGTTACCATTATGTTTAGTAATATTTACTACATTTAATTATTCTATCAATACGCTAAATAAAGTACATTTAATAACTAGTAAAATAATGATTTTATTGAAATATCTAAAAATTTATTAGTTAGATATATCCGGAAATAATTTTGTTGAACTACTAAAATAATTATGTAGGACACTCTCTCAAGCTGGTTACTAGAATGTCAAAACTTTTTACAGCTTTACTCATCGTGCTTGAGTTCGCTAATTATTTTCATGGTCCAACAAAATTATTTTCAGATCTAACTAAATTTTTTTAAACAAGATACTTTAGCAAAACAGTCTTTAACAAAGAACTTTCGTTCTTTCCGTTCATTATTAGACTTTTCTTTCAATATATCGCGTGAGTTCTCGAGAGAAGTATCGGCTTTAATCAGATCTAATGAAAAGGGAGATCGAAATTGAGATGGGAGAGTCTCTCCTAGAAGAGGACCTTTCACCTAATGGTTTGAGAAACTATTGAGAAACTATATTCACCGGCATGCGCCAGCGTGGCCATTTATGGCCGCGCAAACAGATCGCGCGTCGTAATGCATGTCGATTGTGCCACGTTTAGAATGTATTCCCTTTTACCTTTGCACGTTGAATTTTCGTAACTATCTTTTTCTCGATTTCCCTCGAAAACGATCAACTGTATCGAAAAAGGCAGAAAATCGCATGGGGCTGAGAGAAATATATGTCGCACGTATTCTCCCGGAAATATATAAAATATACATACGTATACTCTGTGCATTGCTGATAGCAAAATTTTAGCTATATTCTTTCGCGTTTGAATCGTCAAACAATTAATAAAATACAAAAAAGAATTTATTATTATACATATCATGATCAAAGATACATTCATACAAGTCATAGTCATAAGTATAAAGCACATTCAATTTATTGCATTTCTTATAAAAGGCGATAATAAAATCAAATATGGGAAAATAAAGGAAAACTATAAATATAAAATATTAAAATGTTCTAAAACAAATATTACTTTTTAAAACAAATATTACTTTTTAATAAAAAATTTATTTTTCAATAAAATAAATATTACTTTTTAATAAATTTTAATAAAACTTTTTAAATTTACTTTTTATTAGATATAGAACGTTTACGTCAATTTGTGGAGATGCTTTTATACGTTTTGCTAACATTGAAAAAAATGCATGTAATTTTACATGGAAACTACATGTTTATGATTGGAAAATTATCTAAATTACTTAAATATGATTGGAAATTTACTGGAAATTGTAAATTTCCAAACATATTTAAGTAATTTTCCAGTCATGAACATGTAATTTTCATGTAAAATTACATGCATTTTTTTCAGTGAAGGCTGTATTTGCCTGAAAACGAAATATTGTCGAAAAGCAAGTATATTATCGATAAGTACATCAATCGATGATGACCGACGTACGAAACACGATTTATTGTGTACAAAAAATCTGTGCGCCAATAGAAATTCAATGCGATATTGACTCACCCTATGTCATTGGCGAATAACGTCCAATTGATCCTTGACGCACATGTCTATTTCAAAGTCCTCGAAGCTCTCTATTCCACGCGGCGGCTATTCGATCTGAAACAAAAATTTTAATTATGTTTAACCCCAATAATCATCAAGCAGAATAGCGTAGTTTTGAGTTTACATTTGCCAACAGCCACGCCACGTGAAATTTTATCTACAAAGTCAATAACATCGATACATGGGAGAAATCCGATATTTGATGACATTCGAACGTGCCCCTTGTATCAAATGCTTTTAAAGCTCAGTGTGTTGCACGAGTAAATTAATCACGTCGCGTCGCGTATTTTTATTCGCGCGCCAACGGTCAAATTTATCGTGGGGAAAAGTTAAAGCGTACGAGGTGCAACTCACGATTCTGTTAACAGAATGAATATCGAAGCGCAATTAACTGCAATTAATTTTTGTACTTAAATATACAGGTTATTCACAAACTCCAAGATATGTACGCTTAAAATTAAATGAAGAGGTATAATGCTTGCAAATAGGGTGATTTACTGCGTTTATTTATATACTGTGCTTATACAAATACCGGGAATAGGAAGATAACGTGAAGATTACGATGGGAAAAGTAGCTGCTTCTCTGGTGGTTAACACAGGCAGTAAACTACCCTTTACCTATATCATTTTGCATCACGAAAGGGGAGCGAGTTATAAATGCCCGGAACAACCTTAACTCGTTGCTGGTTGCGCCACATAAACGCGATCAGATTTAAGGATATTTACGGAAATGAGCTACGACTTACTAATATGAGTTGACTGCACGGACATAATATTAAAACGGCTTTCAAAAAGGAAGAAACGACGAATATTCGGTAGACATATTATACACCAAATGTTTCTCCACGAAAAGTCCGATCTCATCTTTGCAAATAAAAAGCGAAACTTAACAACATTTCAATTGAATTATATCCTAAAAGAAAAGGTAAAAACGTTACGTTAAATATTACACGATACATCGACGTAAAAATAATATAAAAACATTTATATAATAATCCATCTTTCCTTACAGTTTTATTTATTGAAGGATTGATCGTAAAACTTCTCTCACGGAAAGTTAAGCAAATTTTACCTTCGTCTCGGTGGATCTACATTGCAGACATTTTATGAAATGGCTCTCGGAAAGTATAGGAGCTTCCCCAGCGCAACGGTTTAATATCTATATTTTCACGAAAGCATGCCGCTGCATAATTTTGCATCGTAACGGATTGTTTTCTTTCGGACAGATATCGCGTCGTGTTCGGAGGACACTGCGTTGCACTTTGCATTTTTCAGCGAGTCATACGGAGTCTCATATGCTGCCGAGCAGCAGCAACAGAGACAGCGCGGCAGTATCAGCTGCGACTGCAAATCCCCGGCACCGGTGCATCATCCAGGATGCAGAAGGAATAGAGACGATGGCGCATCGGAGACAGCCTTCTTGGGCCGGTCGACTTCCGGTGCACCGTCTGCAATTCCGTTTTGTAATATTAAACTCGCTCGGGGAAGAATATGCTCCGCGAGAGACGCAGAAGAACGATAATGTTCGGATCTATTGAGAAGAAAAAAATAGATACAGTAAGCGAGGCGAACTATCTTGTAAACTTCATTGAAAGTGAACAACTCTTTGCTCTTCAAAGATCCGTAGAAGCATGTACACTTCTCTTTGACAGCAGGATATTTTTCTCGAAATATTAGTTGATAAAATATAAAAGAGGTTTTCACTACAAAAAGAAATATTTTAAGAATGAAAATTGTACTACTTCTATTTGTTCAATAATATCATTTCTCAATAAAGAGAATGTGTAAAGTACATATTTTGCAATTATCGATTTACTAGATACAGAATGAATACTAAATACTCTAAAAGCAATGTTTGGAAAAAACCAAATGTTTTCTTCAACTTTGACACTTTGTATCTTTGAAACCAAGCCGTTTCAAACAAATGATCATATAAGTTTTTGTCTTAAATTTGTGTGAGCTATCACCCTTTAAGATCTTTTAGAGTATTTGCCCAAGTAACACACGGCGCTTACAAAGCATTAACAAAGCATTAAAAAAGCGCATATTAATCGCCTTTTTAGCGCTTTGCAAGCGCTGCTTTGCTACTTGGGTAGTATATGTGTATTTTTTCGGAAAGAAAATCAGTGGAGGGAATTTGCGCAACACCTACGTGGACAGGAGTATGAAAATATTTGCATAATTCTCGTCAGGAATTCTTAATATCCGGAGTGTTACATACATTTATTCTCACCTCTAGAGAGGAATATCTTCCTCTCATCTGGAGCAAATTAACGCGAGAGCACAGCCTCACATGACGCAGGAGGTCGGAGTGCGTCATAGTCAGTAAAAACACATTAGCTGGATTCATTCCCTCTTCGTGCGGAACATAATCGCGAAATGTTCTTTGTAGAACATATGAAAAATCGCAACAACGAAACACGCATTCGCCGGGAGCGGATTGTAGCCGGTTGAAGGCGACATTATCTCGAAAAACTCATAAATGATATATTGTTTAGGTATACACGGTGACTATCTTCATCATCTACGAAAAGCGCGGAAGATTATTACGGTTTGTTTTTTTTTTAGATTATATTTCGTAAGTATTTTCTGCGGAGAAAAATTGCAACGTTCCACATTATATAACATTGGGGTAACGCATTATATGACATTGGGGACACGTTTTATCTCCTTTATCAGACTTTTATGTTTTATCATTCCGTCCGCGATAGGCATTTCCCTGTGGAATTGCCATTCTCATCTCGTCCTCTCGGCTGCAGCGATACAAAAATCGAGAAAAAAATTAACGTTTTCAGATCTTTGAAAGTTTCAATGTTCAAATCGAATGTCAAAAAACCGCATAAGTAGGATGGACGTGAGAAAGAGAAAGTCAGGCAAGACATTTTGGAAGACAAAATTGATATAGCAAGACGAAGAGAGCTTTGTGAGGAAACGTTTTCTTCTGTTGGAGACATAAAAAAAATCCCTTTGATTCGCTCTCATCGTGAATCGTCAACAATATTCGATATATCAAAAACCTTCGTGTGTATAGAAAAATAACAAGATCTCTTTAGATATATTACACAGTCGGAAGATAAAAATAAATATATTTTAAAACATTTTCATAAAATAATTAAGCAATACAAGTAATTAAATAGCTTGTTTAATAACTTCGCATTAATTATTTATTATGTCATATTTTGATATATTTTCAATAGTCAAGTCTTTAAGTGAAGATTTAAAACGTACAAAACGTTTACAGTAATTGGCAATATTTGGGGCAATACTTCACGATCCAGTCTCACCATTTACCAATCGAAAAAATCTGGTCGATGGGAGCTCGTTCGGTTTATTGCGGGCTGAAATAGAGAACGAAAATCCCTGACTGCCGTGAATAGTAATCCGCGTATAGACCACGTACAGAACGGTTTCGCTCGGATGTCTCGATTATCCGAACAATGTGCAAGTCATTTGTACGATATTCAAATATTATATGTCTACCGTGACACGGCCAGTTTCATGTTTCATCGGTCCGCAATTTCCAATTGCACTCGATCTTCCATGTCGCGTCATGTCTCATAAACGAGTTGCGCTCCCTATGGTTTACAAAATTTACATAACGCCATGTCTCGCGTGAACGTTTTAGAAAATATTCCGCGAGAAAATCTCGAGTTGCTGACCACTGTAGCATCGTAGATCAGATATAATAAAGTTGAAAAAATAAATGAGGTCGAATACTGGTAATTTTATGAACGTTCATTTTATGCATTAAAATAATGAGTAAATTTAATTAATATAAATGTGTGTATATTACAATTGTATTACATTTTATTTATATAATATGCACTATATGATTATATTTTTGTCGCTGGATATGTCATATTAAATGTGCTTTCGAAAATGCGCTGCGTGCGACTTGTTATTAGAAAATGTAAAAAACTATATAATATTACTTAACAAGATATACGGTTATTATATTTGTGTCACGCACATGCTGCGATCCGTACGAATCAATCTACCGAAGAGAAAAAAAAAGAATAGAACAAAAACGTCCGTTATATAATAAAAATAGAATTCAATTCGTGTTTTGTAAAATGGAAAAAGGGAGAAGAGAAATTGAAGAAATAAACGCACTCCGTGTTCTCTGAGCATATATCCGCATTTTTTTATAAATTCCGATTCGTGAGAGCAATATTGAAAATATCTCCTTTGAGAAATATTACGCAACACGTTTCCTCCATGTCAACTTTTTTAAATACCTGTTTCATGCTAAAATAATCCGTTATAGCACATTTGATGCAGCTGAATATATTCTCATGCATGGACAATGGTAGTTGTCGAACGAAATCCAAGAATGTAAAATATTCTAGAAATTACGTCCATTATCCATATATATTTAAAATATATAAATATCCAATAAATTTAAAATCTATTTTTTCTTCGAGAAACGTAATTCAAAACCTAATTTTCAATAATTTCACATTTCTAGCTATTAAGAATTTCAAATCACATATCTCTTTAAAATTATTTTGATTTCAAATCTCAAATTGAAATTCCTTCAAAATAAAAGAGTTTACAATAGGTATACGCGTATATATATATATATATATATATATATTTAATATTACTTAATATCATTTTTTAAATCTATCGAGAACATTTAAATAACTCTATTAATCAAAACACGGCATAACATAATTTATGATTGTTGGAACAACTTATATCTTTTGCGCAAGGATGGAGAGAGGAAAATCAGGATTCATCGATAATTCACGCTTACTTTTCCAATCGTTTCATTCAGTTACCTCAACAAAAGTCTATATGATATCCAAATATTAGATATCCCACGCGCGGTGTCGGGTATTCACTTTTCATCGATTCGCCGCGATCCGGAAATTTACTGGATCTTTCGCGAAGCGGTGTGCTGCAGGCCACAGCCAGATCCGTTTTATCGTCGTCCGTAGTGAGTAATAAAGTTTTCATCGTTTCGACCGCCGGCTGCGCGGAAATGCAGTTTCCCTGTTAGCGGCTGAGCATACACACAGTTTCGAACGGAGAGAACGGGCGGAAGCACA